TGGATGTCTACTGGCCCATCTCAGACAGTACACTCGACAGCATACAAATAAAGACTATACATCATAATAGCCAATGTGTTAGAAAACTTTGAACACTCTTATGGTGAATGGAATTATATGCTACATTTTTAAACCTACAGGCTTCCTTAAACAAATAGCTACTTTGAAAAGATTTATTGGAGAGGCTATTTTATTAGAGTATGCTTTTTATATTATCTGAGCTTATACTCCAAAGATGCAGAGCAGTGGTAGGATGAAGAGAATGAGGCGCTGACCTCATGTTCTAATTTAAGAGGGTATCAATAACTCAGCAATCAAGACATATCATACCTTAATGCAATATTTTTTAAATAAAAATTAAAACCAAAAAATCCATGAAAAATAAAATATTAAAAATTTAACTAAAGATCAAAAGAGATGTACATTCTGCCATGTTGATAGACTATTATCCATTTGACTATGGGATTAAAAAAATAAGTGGAAAAGGAAAGAATTTTGCTGTTTTCTTCTTGGTTTAAAGACAAAAATGAATCAACCTTAATATCTCCAGCTCGTAGGATCATTTGTTCAGCAGTATTTTCACTAAAATGACAGTTTTAGTGAATAGTAATCGTTCTTTCCTGTCATGTTTGCCATAGTAATTTAAATGACATTATCTTAAATATGACTCTGCCCAAAGTGTTATGCTACCTGGAAAACTAAATGGAATATTATAAAGAAATCATTCATAATCCCAGTTTTCTGTTTGTGGCATATTTCCATCATTCAGGATTTCCTTATTTGCTTCTGACTCTATTACATAAATGCAGGCATATTGTCAGCCTCAAGAAAATTTCCCTATAGTGTTTTAGAATGGGAGAGTTTTCATAGAATATTTAAAAAAAGGAGCACTCTATTGTATGACTATTTTCTTTTAGAGTTATCTTACACATAGCATAGAAATAATTTATTTCATTTATCTATTGAAAGAGTTAACTTCATTCTTCGTAGAACTATCCTCACATTTCTTACTCTCCTATGCAGTAGCACTCCTAAAAGGAGTTGTCCATGCTTGATGTTTTTCACATTTCTCTCTTCTTAAAATTCTTATTATAAAGTAATTTCAAATTCAGAAAATTTTCAAGAGCAAAACAAGTCATATACCAGTTTCCCATATGCCTTAATGTAATGTTATATTTTCTTACTGCTGAATATTTTTCTTAACCTCTTGAGAATTTGTTGTTCACATCAGAAGCCTTTATCTGTGCATACTTCAACCTGTATTTCTCAAAAAAAAGACATTCTGTTATAGTTCAATTATCAAACTCAATAAATTTACAAATACAGTATTATTACACCATATGTAAGTCTTTATCCAAACTTCACAATTATCCTAAGAGTGTCATTTATTGAGAAATTTTCTCTAATTCAGGCTCTAAGTCACAATCATGCATTGTATTATTGCAGTACCTCTGGCGTCCGTTATGACAATACCTAACACTATCATGACTCACAACATTGATGTTTTCTAAGCTTGCTAGCCAGTTGTTTTGTAGAGTGTCCTTCAACCTGGGTTTTCCTGATGTTTCCTCTTTATTAGCATCATGCATGCCCGGTGGGTAGGAACACTGCATCTGTAATGTATCTTCAGTGCATTTTATATCAAATGTATCAAAAAGTACAAAATGTCAGTTTCTTCCATTATTAGTGAGCACCTAATGCTGAGTGAAAATGGTGCCTCTTCTACATTTGTCCACCAAAAAAGCTGCCCATTTTCCCTCTCCAATTAATAAGCAGAAATGCTTTGATATTATGTAATTATCCTGCTGCTTTTTAAAGTTTCCTTAATCATTTCAATGCCCATTAAGGATTCTGGCCTGATGCAGTTATTACTATGATGGCTATAAAATGCTAATTTTCCAACTCTATTATTTCTTCTACATTTACTGGCTGGCACACTCTCTAAAGAAGAGCTTTCCCTTCTTATGCATTTATTCTCTTGTTTGTTTCACTACAGAGTCATTGGTTCTTATTTCAATCAAAGGTTTATAATCTATTTTTCCATTATTTATTTTAAAGGGCAAATATGCCAATATTTACTTAAAGAGACACCTTACACATCATCTCCACTGCAATTTTTAAATGATCCCATCTTTTTTAAAGCCCTTCCTTATTTATTATCTGGCATGACAAGATATTACAGTTCATCTTGTACATTTCCTGGACCAGTCCTGGAATTGGCCATTTCCCATTGTTGCCTGGTTCCTTTTTACTAGAAATTCCACTTAAAACCCCAAATCTGGATGCTACGTGTGTTCATACTGGGGTGGTGTTTATGCATACAATGAAATGTGCTCTTTCTAAGGTATACAGCTCATGATCAGTTCTCAGCCTTCTTCATTTTTCCTGACCCATTAGCAACACTTGTCACAGGATCACACTTTGTTGCATTTCTTCATTCAGCTTCCAGGAAGTGATGTTCTCTTGGTTTCCTACTCTTCACTGAACCACTCAAAAGTTGAGGTTCAGCCAAGCACCAGTGGCTCATGTCTGTAATCCTAGCTACTTAGGAAGCCAATCAGGAGGATTGCTGTTCAAAGCAACCCAGGCAAATAGTTTGTGAGACCCTATCTCAAAAAATACCCAACACAAAAAAAAGGGTCAGTGGAGTGGCTCAAGTGGTAGAGTGCCTATCTAGCAAGTGTGAGACCCTGAGTTCAAGCTGCAGTACCACCCCCCCCAAAAAAAATTGAAGTTCGGTTACTCCAGACCTCAGACTTGGACCTCGGACTGACAACTCTCACATCTTTATCTCTAATCCACTCTTCTCCCTCGAGCTCTGGGCTTCACTTATATCTACTCAGCATCTTCACCTGATTTCCAATAGACATCCAAATTCACCATATACAAAACTGAACCACTCCAGATCTAGTCCACTGTAGCCTGGGCCATCATCCCGGGTGATGGCTACTCTGTTCTCCCAGTCATTCCAGTCAATAATGTGGAGGTACCCAAAATATATTCAAAAGCCTCCTTCCTTCACTGCTACCACTGTGCTCTTAGTCGCCATCTTGCTTGGATTACTTCAATGACCTCTTAACAAGTCTCCTTTTCATGCCCTTCTTTATGCTAAGATCTCATCTCTGACTCTTTCATTTTCTCTCACCTTCATGCACATTGAACTGTTGTTCTTCCACATGCCAGCACCTCAGGCATGTTCCTACTCCTGGCAGTTATTTGAGCTGGTTCCTTATGTGAAAGGTGTATGTCCAGATATTTGCTTGGCCAATGCCCTCATCTCCTTCAAGTTTGGATCAAACTGTATCCTCTCGTGAGGCCAATGCTGACTACTACCAACACAGAACTTCTGACCCCTGCTCTCTGCTTTCCTTTTTGTCCCCATTACATTTTTCATCTTCTAACCCATTTCATAATTTTTCACTTATTTTTATGTTGTGAGTTGTCTGTCTCCCTATGCCAGAATATCCATGAGGACAGGGATCTTGAAGAATCTAGAACTTAACAATCTCACCATGCATCTGGAACAGTGCATGTTCCTATCATAATAGGCATACAATTTTTTAAATAAATCAATGAACCACTTTATCCAGTACTTTGATTTCATAAACTCATGGAAATGAGGGAGAACCCATCAATGGGATGGAGCCATTTTTAATATTATATTTAATAATTATAATAATATTATATAAACATGCCACTTTTAATATTAGTATGTGCCTAACCACAACCACAGTCGAACTCTATCTCCGTGTGCACGTTTGCCTCCTTTCAAGGGTAAAATCTAGATCCATTTTAAAATAAAATAATTTTAACCAGGCAGCATTTCCAGAGAAGGTTAGGTCTTGATGTCTTTGAATTATACCTTTTCATGCATAATACAATCTGAGTTACAGGTGTTGGTCACTCACTGTCATCAGGGAGTGTGCAATGTTTCCTCTGGTTTTGGTATTTGTTGTAATTTTGAGCTCCATAGGGGAAAAGACAAGGTGGGAGAAGGTTTGGCAGAAATAAGATTACTTTTTATATGAACTTTACGTTTTCCTACTAAACTATTAAATTGATTCTACATCCAAAATTGGCAGCAATGTCACTTCTGTGGCCCTAAAGTGACTCAGAATTTCAGCTGAAATAAGGTATGCCTTGACAGACCTTGAGATAATGTACCTAGCACATTTCTGGACAATCACTGTGATGTCAACAGTCAAGTTTTGAATGGTACCTGTGACACGAGTATTGAAATGTGTCTACTGTCAAGGTCAGACAGTGATGACTACCTGGAAAAGAAACCACACTGCATTAGAAAGTGAACTTCCTCTCTGATTCTCGTTAGGGGCATTGCGAATCACTTTTGTGCTGAAATTATTGATTCCTTTGCCAGTCATGTTTCTGGGACATTAAGAAACATTTGCCTTACAGCTCCTCTACTTCAAGTGGAGGGGTTTATCAGACTGAAGAGAATATAGAATGATAATTTAATCTAAATTTTTATCATCTATTCCAATATAGCAGGAAAACAAGCAAAACCATTCATTGCAAATGCATGCACAATGTGTGAATTTCACCCACTAAAAATACCAAACAACAACAAAAAATGAAATTTTTAATTCATATAGTTTTGTCTACCAAAAGGACATTCAGAAATATCTTGGCACTTTAGTAAGTATATAAAGTATATAACAAATATATATACATATATATATATATGAAATATAAATCTAGGTGTGGTATAATCCCAGCAGTCAGGAGGCTGGGCAGAAAAATGGCAAGTTCAAGGCCAGCCTGGGCAATATAGTGAGATCCTGCCTCAAAACAAATATCATTTGTGTTCTAGAACAATTTCAAATGTGCAGTAAAATAGACCATATTTAACTCAATTTAGTTCTCAAAGTATTGTGATCACCTTTTAAACTTCTCTACTTTTAAATACATTATTTTTTTATGTAGTAGAGAAAATAGACTCTTTTAAATATATAAAATTCTGCATTGGATTCATTCTACAGATACAACACACTCAGGGGAAATTGGCACCAAGAAAAAGGTAAAAAGACTGTTAAGTTTCCAAAGATACTTCCATGCATCGAGGTTGCTTCGTGGAATTATACCACAAGCCCCCCTCCACCTGCTGGATGAAGACTATCTTGGACAAGCAAGGGTAAGCCAGTCACCCCTCAGTCTCCCTACAACAGGCCAGTGACCAAGAGCCTGTACCTCTGTTGACGGCTCCTAGGCTTGAGTCCTACTCTGCCTATGAGGAGCTGTGTGGCTCTGGGTTAGTTACTCAACACATCTGGACTTTTGGAACAACTATAAAAGGAAGGTAACAGAAACACCTATCTCATAGGGACAATGCAAGGATTTTTTTTTCCTTTTTCTTTTATTATTCATATGTGCATACAAGGCTTGGTTCATTTCTCCCCCCTGCCCCCACCCCCTCCCTTACCACCCACTCGGCCCCCTCCCTCTCCCCCCCCAATACCCAGCAGAAACTATTTTGCCCTTATTTCTAATTTTGTTGTAGAGAGAGTATAAGCAATAATAGGAAGGAACAAGGGTTTTTGCTGGTTGAGATAAGGATAGCTATACAGGGCATTGACTCACATTGATTTCCTGTGCGTGGGTGTTACCTTCTAGGTTAATTCTTTTTGATCTAACCTTTTCTGTAGTACCTGTTCCCCTTTTCCTATTGGCCTCAGTTGCTTTAAGGTATCTGCTTTAGTTTCTCTGCGTTAAGGGCAACAAATGCTAGCTAGTTTTTTAGGTGTCTTACCTATCCTCACCCCTCCCTTGTGTGCTCTCACTTTTATCATGTGCTCATAGTCCAATCCCCTTGTTGTGTTTACCCTCAATGCAAGGACTAATGAAGTAGCGCATTTGGTTTTTTGGGGGGTGCTGGGGATTGAACCCAGGGTCTCATACAAGTTAAGCACACACTCCACTGAGTAGAAACCCTTAACTGAGCAACACCCGACCCTGATACTCATGCCTAACATATGCTAACTCTTCACTTTTGTAAGTGTGCAAAATACATTTGTACAACTATGTTTTTGAACTGGAAAATTACTAATGAGCAAAGTAAAATTTTGGACTAGAAGATTACTAATGAGAGAATAATTGTATTTTTAATCAATTAAATTATCTCATTATAATAGTGACACTGAAAATAACCCAGTAATTGTCGACTCTTAATTCACACTAGGCTATTAATACAGTGTACTGGCCTTTTTATTATTTTTAATTCTTCACGTAATTTTTAATAATTTAACAACTATTGTTGCACACATTGATCTGAGTAAGGGCTAAAATTAATATATGCCAATCCAAAAATAAGCTTACAAGATATCTCCAGCCTAAATTACCAGAGAAACTTAAATTCAAGTGTGAACTGTTGCCATTAAACAAAAGTCAAAAATAGTGTTTTATAGATACATGCTAAGTAATATTATATTCCTCATACTACTAAGAAATAAATATTACTAATATATAATATTAAGAAATAAGCAGTAAGTATTGTCAGAAGAACCAATTCCCAATATTAGGGGAAAAAACCTTCTAACAACCCAAAGACTGAGATTGGGTGATGGTTGGTTGGTTAGATGGTTGGTTGATTGTGATTGATTGGTTGGTTGGTGGTTGGAGTTGGTTAGTTGGTTGGTTGGTTGGTTGTGATTGACTAGTTGGTTGGTGGTTGGTGGTTGGTTAGTTGGTTGGTTGGTTGTGATTGACTTGTTGATTGGTTGGTTGTAATTGGTTGTTGGTTGGTTGTGACTGGTTGATTAGTTGGTTGGTTGGTTGATTGTGATTGGTTGGTGGTTGGTTGGTTGATTGGGAATTTGTTGTTGGTTGATTGGTTGTGATTGGTTGATTGGTTGGTTAGTTGGTTGGTGGTTGGTTGGTTGGTTGTTAGTCAGCTGGTTAGTGATTGATTGGTTAGTTGGTTGATTGGTTGAGAGGAGAGCAGACTCAACTCCTCTGATACTGGAGCATTAATGCCAGAGCAGTTTTGGTGCACTCTATAAACAGATACATTTAAGAAAAGTAATGTTGAAGTGCAGAAAGAATGGTAAGCCAGAAGTCTAGATGTCAGAGGTCAGGTCCTGAGTCTGCCATAAATACTGTTTGATTTGAGTAAAAGGCATGCAATCCAGACCTCAAAAATAAGCTATCATCCCTTCATTTCTCTAATACATCTGAGGTCTTAATGTGGCACACAATGCATTTGGACTTTACCATAGGACACAGGTCAAGCCACTTGGGGCAGATAGAGGAATGTGAGCTTGTCCTCGTGTGAATCAGTGGCTAACCCTTCAAAGAGAGGTGGAAGAAGCTTCAGGAGCTGTGGTAAGGAGGGGGAATACAATCAGTCACTGCAACTTTTGTGTCACCATCTAATGATAAGTATGGTATGTTTTTAAAGAAAAATAGGATAAATCTGAATTACACAACAGACCTTTAAGTTACCCAGTATTTTCCAGTTACCACTTTTCAGCTTCCTTTGCAGTGGTTAATTTCACATTCAGCCCACATGGAGCAGAATAATGTGCTCAGCAGTGGTTTTCACTTCTTTCTCTTAAAACATTTGTTGTGAATCTCCAACCTGAAATGCAAGGTAGTTTGTGATGTAGACCTTTATTGAGCTCCAGTTTAACTGATACCAACACATGCGCCCCCTGTGAATCAGCACTGTTCAAAACACTTTATGTATACAGTGTCATTGTACTTCATCCTCACAACAACCCTCTGAAGCAGACAGTATTATCTGCCTCATTTCTCAAATGAAGAAACTGAGGCAAGAGAGGTTCTGATATGTGGCCAAAGTCCCACAGCCAGAAAGAGATGTGGCTGACATGGAAGCAGGCAGTTTAACTCCAGAACCTTCTGGAGTTTAACTCCAGAAATGGCTTCAGGGAGTAGAGTAAGACTTGGTTTACCAGTTGTACATAGAGTGGTGTGCTTCTATTTCTAAACTTAATTATTTCATTCATTGTGTATCAAAGTAAATGTTTGAGTCTTGATGTGATTCATTTGGGTGCTATTTTTTGTTTGCCTTTTCAGCATATGCTCTCCAAAGTGGGAATGTGGGACTTTGACATTTTCTTATTCGATCGTTTGACAAATGGTAAGTTACCCAAAAGAATTCTTGCTAAAATATACACCATAAAGTGGGATGCATGTCATAAGAAACAAAATTTATTTTTAAACACTGTTATTCTTTATTCCTTCCTTCTTTTCCCACTTTCATAAACCTACAGTCACTCAGGAGGGACCCAGATGAGGGAAAATTTAGATGAAGAATAAGGACTCAGTTTGGCCTTAGACTCTTAGGACAGTTTCCTTCTGACCTTGATGATCCCAAAAGAATGAGGAAGCTTCAGATTCAATTCTTTCCTTTCAGAATACTTGGGCAATCTTCTAAAGTAGGAAATTCATTGTTGAGTCAATGAAAACTGGAAACATGAAAGCACATCGACCAGTCCTGATTCTTACAGGACAGGGTGCTTGTGTAGATTTTAAAGTTAACTGAGTCTGTCCATGACAAGTAGTGCTCAGCTAGGCTTGCTATCATCAGAAGAAAATGATCACTAAGGAGAGAACATAAAAATTTATACTGCAGCTAAAGAAAAAACTGAATCTTCCCATTGACCAAGTTTCTATGCCAAGGAAAGCCTTCCTTAACAAAATAACAAAATCTAATTATATTTTCTTCTGTACATTAAACAAATGTAGATAAGCTTAGGCAGCCAAGGAAAGACATCACATTTAATGATAATGTTGGTCTGCCCTATCACCTTCCATATTTGTGCCTTAAAACAATACGGATGGTTTTCCCACCATTCTGTTATTCAACAAACATTGTGCAGTTAAAAGTGATGTAGCCTAAGATCATGAAACAGATCTGTACACTATTTAGAGCTAAGTAGACTATGTGGCTGGACCTTATAATGTCACATTTACTTTGCTCAAATCAACTGAGAAATGAGTGCTGGTAAATGAAATTAACTGTGAATAAAAGAACTTGTTAAATGGTGTTTGTTTAGAAGAAGAGAGTAATCACGACTGTCATAGAAACATGAAATATTTTATTTAACTCAATTCATTTGAGGCTCAGTAAGACACTATAACTAGGCTCTAAAGTAGACTTTAAACATGCACACACATATGCAGAAAGAAATTCTGAAATGAATTTATAAATAGCTTCAAAACTAGGAGGGAGACTTCGGTTGTATTGCTAGCAGACTAATTTCATTCATAAGTCCGTGGACAAGAATCATTTGTAATCTTATCAGTTATGTCTAGCTTGAGAGTTGCAAAATAGCACAAAGATGATGAAATATGCAAAGACCTTTGAATCAGGTACCCTGGAAGCGTAGACTTAGACAATATCTAGTCTTTCATTCAAAGCACCCAGACATCTTTTTGGCCCTTTTCAAAGTCTTGAACTATAATGCTTTTAAAATTCAAAATCATTGTTCTTAAATTAATAATATTTCTTGAAGTTATTATAGCTTCAATTTTGCACTTCTGCTTGAGTTCTAAAATGTCTCCTAGTCAAAATTTCTCTCAGGTAATTTTTCATAGGAAGAATAGGCTAGCACCATTAAGCAATATGTTAATTTAGATACTCCAATAAATATAAGAGTCAACTGAAAAGTGACTTAAGGCACATTTCAAGGGCCATTAACTGGGTTTTTAAAAACATCCACATGTAGGTACACCCACACACATATATGCATCCCTGACTCATCAGTAAGGAGACTCTTTATTTTAATATTTTCATTGCCTCTGGTATAGGGAGAAGGTCTAAGTTCATTCTGTTTGAGCTCAGAGAAAATCTAGATCATGGAAGTAATATCCTCTCTGCTTGATAATTTCAAATCCAAAGGAAAAAGAGTTCTATCAGAAGAGCCTTATTGTAAGACTTTGGATCTTACTGTCAATCTTGATATTTTAGTGGTGATAAAAACAAGTTAAAAGTGGTAACTGTCTTTCTCTAGGAAACAGCCTGGTCACACTGTTGTGCCACCTCTTCAACACCCATGGACTCATTCACCATTTCAAGCTGGATATGGTGACCTTACACAGATTTTTAGGTAAGCCCTTTCTTTCATATTCTACCCTATTGCCATGAATAATGATAGTGCATAATACTCAATATATATTGGAAAAAATCATAGTATGGTGGATAAAGGCTTCAAATTAATCTCAAATTATCTAATTTTATTTTTAAAATATAGCTTACCCATCCTAAGTCATTGATAAACTATTTACTTGATAGGTTATGTTTACAATATGTTAAGGCTTTACAAAGAAAGCCATCAAAAACATAGCTGTCAAAGAAGATTCTGATCTGCTCATATATTGACTAAACACCAGCAACATATACTTCAAATAATTCTAATTAGAGTATGAGTTTTTGAAAACCTTCAATAGCTTTTTATTTAAAAACCGTAACAAATACTATTTACACAGCACCCCCTAAGAGCAGGGTACTTTAGGTAAGTTATTTCTAACCATTAAGTTATTTCTAACCATTTGTACAAATCTCTAAGTTGGACATTACTGCCACCATTTGGCCCACAGTTAAGGAGACGTACAAAGAGATTTCATTACTTTCCCAAGGCCAAGGGCCAGTAGGAGGCAGAACCTCAGTTCACATCTTAATACCATCAAGAGTGAAACAACAACAAAAAAAAAGAGTGAAATAATAGCAGCCAAGCTTATACAGTGCTTACATCTTCTGGGACATCTAAAGACTCACAAATAATAATACATAGAACAGCAATACCTTGAGGTCAGAACTATTGTTTTTTTGAGAAGGAAGCTGAGGAGACTTGCAGTTCAGTAGCCTAACCCCTATAGATAATAAGTGATAGAGTTTAAATATAATTGGAAAACAAAACAAAAGGTGTATGAAGGGTTGGTGGAATGGCTCAAGTGCCTGCCCAGCAAGAATGAAGCCCTGAGTTCAAATCCCAACACCTCCAATTCAAAAAAAAAAAAGTATATGAGGCACAACAGAAATATTTTAAACCATCCCCAAGGTTCCTTTCCAGAAACATAACTCCAGGCTGATAGTATTTTAATTAGTTGAGCAAGTAATTAGTTTAGCCACAAGTAAGGCCAAATAATTTTGATTTGTCTAAAGAGACACAGAGTCTATAGTTGAATTGACACCTACATCCAGAGCCATTTTCATAGCATGGGCTGAGAACATGGCCACACTTGCAAATCTGGAATTCCCTACACACTGACTATACTGCATCCTAGACTTTGACTTGGTTATTTGCTGACGCAGGCTAGTGGCTTCTGTAAACAGCAAACCCAAATTGTGTTGCCTGTTATCCAACATGGTTCTGAGAGTACACTAACCCTTGCATTACACTGGGTAGAGGGGGTGAAGGGGGGGAGTCACCTATGTTAAAAGCTGATAACCTTGAATAGCGTAGAGTGGTATAATAAAGTGCTCACGTTGCTCAAAGAGGACCTCCAAGCGTGGGACACGTCATGGTACTGCCAAGAGGTTCTTCAGACTCGATATTTTTCACCCCTAGATGATGTAATAGCCCCAGACTTCGTGATATTAGGGTTCCAGTTAGTTAGTCTTTATATTCAGAAAGTGGTAATGATTGCTACAATGTCAGTTGGTCTATCAGGGACCCTGTATACCTAAACGAAGTGCTCTTTGAAAGGGAAGCTTTCGAACATTTGGGATGTATTGCGTTATTTCTATATAATATAGCTGAACAGAATGATTGGTAAATCTAACTATAGACGAGCTATAAGTGGTGAATTATACGAGTTTGTATCCTGTCTGTTGTTTCCCTATACATCATCTCTGTAAGTATTGTCCGTAGTTGTAATGGTGGTCGAGTAGCCTTCTCGATTAAGATGCCGAAGCCAACACAGAGATGATTTTGATGGTAGGAGGAAGCGAGAGATCAGCGGGGGCCTCACAAATTGCTTATGGTGCTTCTTATCATCTCCTCTGCGTTTAATGAGACTTGCACAACGTGTTGCGCAAGACGTTCGCTTCAAGATCGGAAGGTGGCATGCGTTGACTGGTAAAATGAGGAAACCGACAAAGACAGGCTACATTGACATGATTTGTGTGGGAGGCACTGCATAATTGTTTCCAACGAAACGGAATCGACCACTCTCGTACTTAGATTTGGAATCCGACTTGTGAACCACTTCTTCTCACTCATTGGTTGTTATGGGATAGCGTAAACCTGTGTTGGTCCATGTTTCTCTTACTGAGGTTATGGTATCAGGTAGGATATACCATGGCCGAATGGTCGATAATACCATAGTCACAATGCTTTGGTTGCATGAGAATTGCGCGCCCAGCCCCGATGTCACCACGGCCATGCATCTGATATACCCTGAGGGAGCGCAAATGTCAGTTGATGAAGTGAGGACTGCTCACTGGTGCTGTTCCGCCGACAACGTGGGTCAGCTCTGGAAGAATTGCCAGGAATAACGATGAAACGCTATAACTGGTAGGGCTTCAATTTACCCTCTCGACTAACGGGTTCATGAACGACCCTACTTGCTCCAGTCAGTCTAACTCAACAATATGAAATGTAACAATTTATTACTTGAATTGAGTGTTAGGTATCGAGCACTGAAATCTGTATCCACATTACATCACGTAAAATGGATTGTGAAATTTATGCTAGTCGATGGTTTCTTACTCATATTGTATGGTTTGTAGTTGTTAGCGAGATGTGAAGCCTCGTCATTGAGGAACACGATATCTAACGGCTTCATCCTCTGTGCAACATTCGCTAAGAAGAGCCCTTCTACTTAGCTACTATGCCTTCAAAGGAGTCCCGCAAAGTAGTGCAGGTCCTTTGCCGTGGGAACCTTCTTGCCGATACATCGCATATAGCAGATGCTCGTGGATCAGCCTGATGCAATTGTGTGCGT